AGTAGGTATGTGATGTTGAGAAGGAGACAGGAAGGTATCTGAGTAAGGTAAGAAGCATGTTGCGAAGATACGTCGAGTGGGGAGAAAGCGCGGAGCGCTTCCCGGCCCCGGCGTACGGACCCTGACCTATGGGAGGTATCCGAAGGGCGCTGCGATAGGGCGGGTGGGCAACTCAGCCGTATGCAGCGACCAATCGACAGTATGAGCTGGAGAAAGTGGAACACATAGGTCGCGAGCACCATGCGCCAAGGCTAGCTAATGGATTGGTGGATGGTGAGGATGAGAAGGGAGTGGCGGGCGGGGAAAAGAAAATGAGAGCACGGCGGCTCGTATGTCGTCAGAAGGCGAAGGAGCAGGAGGACGACATGGAGGAGCAGAGAAAGACGCGCTCGATGCTGTGCCATACGCGCCGGTCCGAAGTCAACATTCTAACCCTAACCTCGTTCCTCGCTTGCGTCTTAGAATTCCAAACTTTGGATTCTTGCTCTAGCACAGCATAAGTAGGTATGTGATGTTGAGAAGGAGACAGGAAGGTATCTGAGTAAGGTAAGAAGCATGTTGCGAAGATACGTCGAGTGGGGAGAAAGCGCGGAGCGCTTCCCGGCCCCGGCGTACGGACCCTGACCTATGGGAGGTATCCGAAGGGCGCTGCGATACCCAAAACGCGTAGGAGTCTGGCGACACATCGAAGCGTGCGAGGATACCCACTAGGAACTAGGAGGCAGACACCGCAAATAAGTGGTTGGCTCGAGAGCTCAACGACCCCTTAACGGTCGTCAACCACGGCTGCTGGGACAGGCTGCAAGCTGTCCCACATACCAGGCGTGAAGCCCGACGAGAATCTGTAACGACAGATTTCCACATAAGTACACATCGGCGAGGACATGTACCCATGGCCGGCACCCCCTCCGGACTTGGTCGATCATGCACCGGGCATGGGGGGCTGAGCCCTCAAAGCTCACCGAAAGCGTGCAAGGCACCCAGTGGTGCCATTTGTGCAGAGTGGTGCTGCGTGGTGCATTTGAATAATAGGAAGATATAGTCAGTAGTGCCCAGGATGGAGAGAGAATTATGTGAAATATTTGAAATGAGAACATTTGTGCTGCATGATAAACAATGCACAAGCCCACTGAAGGGCTGGCTTGAAGTGACTTATATGAGGGGACCGTGACGTTGTGCCTGCGGCAGTGCAATGCTCAGCTAAACGGGGACACGGTGCCCGAGTAGCACGCCAGGAGCGGCGGAAGGAGCAAGGAGCATGCCAGGAGTGGCGGGAGCAAGGAGCGTGCCAGGAGCGGCAGGAGAAGCGAGCAGCGACGTCTAACCTGCGATAGCACACTGTGGGACAGCAGCAGGGACGAAGCGTGCAGAGAGCGGGCAGCGGTGTCTAACCTGCGGTAGCACACTGAATAAACAGTGGCAGGGACGAGGGCGTGCGAAGTGCGTGCAGAGAAGCGTGCAGAGAAGCGGGCGGAAAAGCGGGCGGAAAAGCGTGCAGAAAAGCGTGCAGAAAAGCGTGCGGAGAAGCGTGCGGAAAAGCGTGCAAAGAAGCGTACAAGGTGCGTGCAAAGAAGCGTGCAAGGTGCGTGCAAAGGAGCGAGGAGCGAGGGATATAGGGAGCTGTGTGGCACACAGGTGGCACCAGCAAACCCTTGACACCCATAAGGGCACGATAAGCGAATAACATTGTGTCATGAGGTCAAATGTCGCGAGAGAGTGGGATGTAGAAGAAAAACCATTATGAGAAGAGGATGAACTTACTGGTGACTTGCACACCACATGTCGTCGCACGGGTAGCCAATACTTCATTTCCCATTAAACACCATTAAGCAGTGGCCGAGCCGTGTCTGTACGCGCGGATGCGGAGATAGGAGAACACGGGAGAGCGATAGGTGAAGAAGGGCCACTTTGAGCAGCAGACGCGTCGCGCAATGAGATGAGCGAGCGGGTGTGAATGTCGATGTTGGGCTCCGAAGCTGGCGGTCGAGGCAGAACACGAGAAAGAGAAATAAAGAGAAGAAAAGAAAATGAGAGCACGGCGGCTCGTATGTCGTCAGAAGGCGAAGGAGCAGGAGGACGACATGGAGGAGCAGAGAAAGACGCGCTCGATGCTGTGCCATACGCGCCGGTCCGAAGTCAACATTCTAACCCTAACCTCGTTCCTCGCTTGCGTCTTAGAATTCCAACATGACTGAAGGAATGTTTTTGTAGGAAGGAAGTTTGATCATTTGCGTATGTCGGAAGGGTACGTCCTTTCTTCTCTTTCATTGCATACAAAGCCATTGGACTTATTCTAATCTTTTCTGTCCATCGTTCCCCCCTTTCCCCTCGTAATTGAGGAACCACCTTGTCCGTGCTCCAGAACTGCTCTGCGACGTACTAAAACTCCGCGCACAAAGCATCAGGACTGGTTAACCGGTGCGTATTCGGTGCGCTTTCAATTGCGTGTGTCAGATTTCTGCTTCAGTACAGTCAACATGACAAGCTGATGCTCCCGGTCATCATGCTCGCGATGCCCTCCCGTCCCACTGTGTATGTCTCCGAGACATATGTGTCTCCCTCCCCTCTTTCTTAGTACAGCCACGTAGTATTTAGTTGGTATTTTGTTCATCCTTTCACGAGTCTCGAGACGAGATGCACATATGGAATGGCTGAGTGGGGTCACTGAGGCGTATCCTATGGTACCGGAGGAAGTCGAGTCTCGAGTCGTGTGGAATGGCAGCCCGCACGTCTGCGCCTGTTATGTTG